GGGGGTGGGTAGGGGTGTGGGGAAGATCAATGTAGGGCATTGGGAGAGCATAGACTTAAGTAGGGAATTGGTTGCTGGGCAGTTGTCAGGGGATGGTCAGAGTAATCCATGGTGGTTTTCTGGAACCAGGGGCAGTGTAGCTCTTCTCGGGCTTTCTGGAACAGAGGGCTAGGATGTGATGTTCTGTGGTATTCTTTTCCACCACTGGGACAGCCTTTCCTGCTGTTAAACAGACTTCACAAGAGCCTGTAACAAGAGCCTAAAACTTCTCTCCCTCAAAACAAGAGTGACAAGCTACACCTAGTGATATCTGTCTACCAAAACTGGACAACATAGTCTTCTTCCAAATCACAGGAAGAAAAATTAAATTATCAAAATTGTCTTATTTGAGTTTTTTTTACACACATTCATTTCTTAAAACTTTGGCACTTGTTGCAGCTTGTTGGCTTGTGAGTATGAACAGAAGGCAAAATGAGTGACCAAGGAGCAAATGACTATTAACAGCAAGATTAGAAGCAGCTAACTGTGCAGGACAACAGCTCACATTGTTTTTAATACTTCAAATTGTGATTTTTATTTTACAACATACAATTTAGTCTCACATTCTGTTAGTAAAGGTGACCCTCATTCATGTAATAAAAATTACTTGTACTTCACAGAGTTCATAGTAAAATTAGCATAAGTTGGAGGGCTCTACTTCCTAAACCCATTTTTGAGCCCTAACTCTAGAAATAATGGGGAAAGACCTGCTTGAGAGACCTCATGATCCTTCCTTGACTAACTGGGGAAGCCACTGAGACCTTCAGAGCCTCAGTTTGAGTATATATAAATTAATAAGAGTAATAAGTACTTTTGTGAAGATTAGAAAATATAGATATGAAATATCTAACAGTGCTTGGCATATAACAGATTCTCAACAAACAGCCTAAATTGATGTAAATGAGAAAATGTCTAATTGATAGAATACATGAACTACAGCAGTGCTTCTCCCCTTTAATGTACATAGGAATTGTCTTGGGAAGGACACCAGGATCACATACGGCCCTGCCTCTGTCCTTGTAATTCTTTCTGACTTCAAGAGGACCCTCTGGCTTCCATTGTGTACACTGGGCAAGAAAATGATGAGGAGAAAGTCAGAGATTCTCATGTTTTAAGAGACCCACAGTGAACAGAAAGAGGTTAAATAAAAAGGATAATGGTTTGGGTCTTAAATGTACCCCAAAGACCACCTGTAGAACTTTGTTGTGAGCCTGTGACACTATTGTGGAGTGTTGAAAATTTTAGGAGATGGGACTTAATGGAAGGAAGTCAGGTCTTTGGGGGAGGCCCTGGAAAGGGATATCAAGACTCTAGCCTCTTCCTCCCACTCTCTCTGCTTCCAAGCCACCATGAGATAAGTAGCTTTTCTCTACTACCAGCTCCCCACCATGATGTTCTGCCTCATCACAGGCCCAAAGTAATAGGGCCAAATGATCATGAATTGAAGCCTCTGAAACTGTGAGCTAAAATAAACCTTTCCTTCCTTTAAGTTGATTATCTCAGATATTTTGTCAAAGTGACAGAAAGCTGACTAACATAAGGGTTCAATGTATTTTGGGTCCATTGCTGGGTTCAGTTCCAGCAATAATTGCTAAATGAACCCAGATAAGTCAAAACCTTCTGATTCTTTATGGGTCTTGACTCTAGCCTGAAATACCATATTTTGAACAAGCTGCCATGTGCTGCTGCTGGTCTGCAGACCACTATTTAGAAGTAAAGAACAAGACCATAGGATATAGCAACAGCACAGATGGCAGGTGTTGAGAGGCAGGCTTGGCCAAGCAGCCCCTTGGGAGGAGGTCTAGGCAGGGGCAGTCAAGGAATGGCACAAATTTTTCATCTGAGAGTATTTCTATCTTTTAAATTGAATTTCACTCTTGAGTTCCCAAGGTTGATGGTTCTCTTTTGCTTCTGCTGACTTGGTTCATATTGAAATTAATGTCCTACATAGCATTCCCTTTGCAGACTACACAGATATTCTCTCCCTATTACTGAGAATAGTGAGACTTCTGAGACTTAATTCTTCTTGTCTGTGGGATACAGAGTTAGGGAAGGAACCAATCATATTGGATTTCTGCTTGGTAGTAGGCATGGTATGCATTGGTTTACATATATTCCTATATTTATACTTTATAAATATAGAAGTTGATGCTCATGAGTTAATAATAAAAGCACTTAGAATTGAGTGTAGTGGCACACATCTGTAATCCTAGCTACTCAAGGGGCTGAGGAAGAAGGATTACAAGTTCAAGGTCAGCTTGGGAAACTTAGCAAGACCTTGTCACAAAATAAAAATAAAAAGAGTTGGGGCTATATCTCAATGGTAGAGTACCCCTAGGTTAGAATGTTCTTTTAAAAAAGCATATAGATATAAAATGGCAGAGGCAGTATATAAACAAGATTTATTTCTTACTTTCTGCTGTCTAAAATTTGTTGCTTTATCATTTACTTCTTTACAGAAATGATGTGCATATGACACTTAGGCATCATTTGGTGACTTACTAAAAGTAACTACATTGTGCCATATTGTGCTATGTTGATTTGCTGAGCCATGCTGCTTTAGCATGGGCAATAATAAAGAAGGGTCAGACAGTCTGGAGAGAAGGAGTGTTGTCTGACTGTGTGCTTGGCAGTTTGTAAGTGGTGAACAACCTGAACCTTGTTATGAATTACAGGCTCTTGTGAAGTCTGTTTAAAAGGGTGAGGGGAGGTGGTAGCATAGAGTGCTATCAAGTATTTGGAGGATGGCATAGGGTATGAAATATATTTTTGCTATGACAGTTCTTCTGATAGGTGTAACTTTGTCTTAATTGGTATCTTTTTTTCAGTAGATTCTGTTTAGTTCACCTTTCTTTCTTTTTTTTAAAGGTTTCAAAACATTTATTGTTGACTCAGTGTGATCACAGAACAAGATTCCTGATTAAGCACATTCAACTGTCCAGCCAATCATATTTAAGCTTGATATGGTAATGTAATCTCGACCATGATAAAGAATGTATCATTTTGTGACTCCGGGGAGAGAAATATGCTGCATCTCATGTTCAATTCTTTACAGTCCCAGCTTGGTCCTCCTCCAGTGTCTCCTCTTGGAGTTGTACCTGATTTTATCACCAGTCTTCATCTGAATCCATTGAGGAATGGGATGATTCTGCTTTTGCTTCTTGGCCAGGAATCGCTTGATTCTGAAAGTCTTGTGAGAAGACATGGTTAGGCTCGGAGGCAAGCGCATGCACATGATGGCATATAGAAGCAGGAGAGGACCTAGTTCACCTTTCTTATGTGCTCTAAAGAAATTGTGAAAAGATGTTCTGAAAGCGGGGGTGGGTGGGTGGGATGTCAGTACAGAATTTCCAGTGAGTAATAAATACCTTTGTGGTATTTAACTTGCTGTGTTCATTGGCATAATGGGTATGATTTGTTGAGATTGGGTTTTATTTAGAATCTCTGAGAAAGCACTGATGTCATAGCTTTACATTACTGTGGAGGAAGGACAGGGGAATATTTACAGGAAGCCATTAAACACTTCAACTGCTAGCAACTTTTTAAAAAGGTGACTTAAACTATCAACAATCACAAAATTGGTAGGGCCACCCCACTGCCAGTTGCTTCATTTGTAGGTAAGTGCTGCTCTGTCAGAAAGCTGGACCGACCTAAATGCAAATGTATACTTTATACCCAATTTGCATCTTGATTTTCTAACAACAGAATGATGTTAGAACCACACATATGAAATGTTAGCAACCAATAGCAGTTGGTGGTATTTTCTTCATTGGCTAACATTTACTGGTTGTTTTGGACTGACACCTATGTGTAAGCTGTGTGAGTTTTGCACTATTTAAGGAACAATTCAGAACAGTTTACAAAGATTAAAGCTGTCTAAATGTTTGTGTCTGTATTTTCCTTAGGATGTTAATGATCAGATTCTACCTCATTCCTTTTAAAAAACTGCTCAAGTTTCTCTTAGAATTAATTTCTCTGTCCTCTACGTATTTCATGCCAGTTTTTTAAAAAAACTACTTTATTAGAGAATAAAAATTAGAATCAACAAAATCAAAAGTTGATTTTTCACAAACTTCAACAGATTAACATACCTTTAGCTGGACTGAAAAAGACAAAAAGATACAAATGAAATCACAAAAGGAAGTGAATACATTGCTACCTACTTTACAAAAATAAAAGTATTATGAGAATGTTGAGAACAATTATAGGCCACCAAATTACATGAACTACAGGAAATAGACAAATTCCTAAAAACACATAATTTACCAAAATTGACCATAAAAAATTTAAAGTTTTAACAGACCTATAAAAATAAAAAGATTGCATTAGTAATCAAAAACCCCCCAGCAAAGAAAAGTCCAGGACCAGTTGTTTTCGCTGGTGAATTCTACCAAGTATTTAAAGAAAATTGACAGCAATCTTTCTCAGACCAAGCCCCCCCGCCCCCCCAAAAAAGGTGTCATAGCTTGTGTATAGATGTCACTCCAAAGTCTCATGCACTCACAGTTGGGGCTTTTGGAAATGACTGGATTATGGGTGTGTGACACTGGATCATGCGTGTGTGATACTGCATTAGTTCAATGATTGGTCTAGCATACTTCTGGGTGTGAGGGATGAATTTACTGAAGAGGGAAGACTCACCCTGGGTCCGCATGGCCCTAACCAATAGGCTTGCAGCCTCAATGGAAAAAAAGGGAAATAACAAAGGCTTACTGCTTTCTGCCTGCCCTGCCATGAATTGTTTCTGCTCTACCATGCCCTTCTGCCATCCTTCCCTACCTTGGAGCCAGCTGACTATAGACTGAGACTTCTACAAACTGTGAGCTAAAGTAAACCTTCCTTTAACTTGTGGGTGTTGGATATTTTGTCCCAGCAATGAGAAAGTATCTTAAAATGGAAGGTGAGAATTTTTTTTTCCTCTTTTACTTGGCTTTTTTTCTTCTTAAATTCTTTTATTGATACATTTTAGGTATACAATACATTTACATTTATCATTGGGAACTTGTTCCTTTACATGAGTGTCTTGGTTCTTATTTTTTCCCCATTACCTGCCCTCCCTTCACCCCCTCCACCCTTCCCTATTTACAAAGACTTTGTTTCCATTTTTCCCATTTCTCATAATTTTTCCTTTCCCTTCTTTCCTTTCCCCTACCCCTCCCACTTCCCCTACCCCTTTGGACTTTTTCTTCCTATTTCGCATTATTAATCATTCATTTTAATCACTGGTACATTTGGAAGGTGACCATTAAGTGACCCTGTGAGACCTATATTAGTCTGTTACCAAGGCCAGCCAAAGACACTACAAGAACAGAAAACTACAGAACAATATCCTTATTAATATAAATGCAAATGTTATTAACAAAATATTGGCAAACTGAAACCAAGAACCAATTATAAAGATTATATATCATAGCCAAGGGGGATTTATCCCAGGAATGCAAGAGTGGGTCAACATAAGAAAATCAATGTAATATCCTATGTTAGTAGAACAGAAAAAAGAAAAAGCCACATAATCATCCCAATTACTGTAAAAAAGAAAAAAAGTATTTGAAGTAATACAACACACTTTCTTAATGAAAACACTTGGACAACTAGAAACAGGAGGGAACTTCATCAATGTGATTTGATGAAAGACACTTATGAAAAACTTACAGCTAACATGATCAATCATGAAGGACTGAAAATTATTTTGCTATGATCAGGAATAAGGAAAGATGCTCAGTTTCCCACTAGTATTCAAAATTGTACTGAGAATTCTGGTCAGGGCAACCAGGGAAGGAAAAGAAATAAAGGCACCCAAGTTAGAAGGGAAGAAGTAACACTGCAGATGACATGACCCTATATATAGAAAGTTCTGCACAATCTACAAATAACTAAAGCTAATAAATGAGTACTAAAGTTTCAAGACACAAATCAATACACAGAAATCAATGTGTTTCTATATATCAGCAGTGAATAATCTGAAAAGAAAGTTAAGAAAACAAATCCATTTAGAATAGCATTCAAAAGAATAAAATCCTTAAGGATAAATTTAGCCATGGAAATGAGAGATTTGTACACTGAGAACTACAAATCATTGCTAAAACAAATTAAAGACCTAAATAAATTAAAAAACATCTTATATACATGGCTTAGAAGATTTAACATTGTTAAAATGCAGTACTACCCAAAATGATGTGCAGATTTAACGTAGGTCCTATAGAAATTTCAACAGCTTTTTATTTTTTCAGAAGTGGGAAAAATAATCCTGGAAGTAAAATACAATTACAAGGAACTTCACATAGCCAAAATAGTCCCAGAAAAGAGGAATAATTTGGAGAACTCATATGTCCAGAAAACTTACTGTAAAGCTGCAATAATCAAAATAGTGTGGTATTGGTATAGGATAGACATATAGACAAGTGAAATTAAACCAATATATCTATGGCTAATTGATTTTTTTTTTGATACCGGGAATCAAACTCGGGTCTTTGTGCTTTTGAACCACTGAGCTAAATCCCCGGCCCTAAGGCTAATAGATTTTTAACAAGGGTGTCAGACCATTCAATGGGGAAGGAATAATTCCTTTAATCACAGTGCCAGGACAATTAGATAACCACATGCAAAAATGAATGTGGAGCTCTACTTCACACCATATACAAAAATTAATTCAAAACGGATCACTGGCCCTTATGTAAGTGCTAAAGCCATAACACTGTTAGAAGAAAACACTGGGGTAAATCTTCACAACCTTGGGTTTGTGAATTCTTAGATGTTACAAAAAAACTTGAGCAACCGAAGGAAGAAACATAAATAAATTGGACAGCATCAAAATTAAAAACATTTGTGCATCAAAGAGCATTATCAAGAAAGTGAAAAGACAACCCACAGACTGAGAGAAAATATCTGTCAATCTAAACATTTCTCTAAAGAAGACATATAAATGTCTAATAAGCACACGAAAGGATATTCAACATCACTAGTCTTTAGAGAAATGTAAATCAAAGCCACAATGAGGTAGCATGTCACACTGACTAGAATAACTATAGTAACAAAGTAGAAAAGTGTTGACAAGAATGTGAGGAAAATTGAAACTATTATATTTCTGATAGAAATGAAAATGCTTTAGCCACTGGAAAATGGTTTGGTAGTTCTTTAAATAGATAAATGGAATTACCATTATAACTTCAGGATTCCTCTCCTGGATATAGATGTTAAAGAATTGAAAACAGGTGTTTTTCAAAAACCCATGTGCACACATGTTCACAGCACCACTATTCCCAATAGCCAAAATGTGGAAACAATCCAAGTGTCCATCAGCAGATGAATGGATAAACAAATTGTGGTATACACATACTATAGGATATTATTTTGCCATTAAAAGGAATGAAGTATCAGTATGTGCTACAATGTGAATGAACTTTGAAAACATGCTAAATAAAAAGTCAAACATAGAAGGTCACATAGAATATGGTTTCATTTATATAAAATATCAAGAGCAAGTTAAGTCCATAGAGAGAGAAAAGAGATTGTTGGTTTCCAGGGTCTGGGGTGGAATGGGAAGTAAAAAATAACTGACTAATGGACATGAGATTGCTTTAAGGGAAATGAAAATATTGTGTAACTAGATAAAGGATGTGGCTACCAGTCATGACTGAACTGGAAGCCAGTGAGTTGTACACTTAAAATGATTAATTTTACATTATGTAGGTTTTACCTCAATTTATAAAATATGTACCATACTTTTAAAAGGTATCATTTTCATGGAATAAAACTAAGTCAAGTGTATATCAGTGAATTTTGATGTTTATACACAGTCATGTAGCTACCACCTCAATCAAGATATAAAACATTTCCATCACCTATAAATTTTCTTTGTGTTCCTTCCCAGCCATACCACCTCCTTGAATTCCCACCCCATCAACCACTGATCTGTTTTCTCACACTATAAATTAGTCCCCTTTATTACAGACCTTCTTATAAGCCAAATGTACTCTTTTGAGGGTAATTTCTTTTGCTCAACATGTGTTTGAGGGTTTTCCATTTTGTTTATATATCAGTGGTTTTTTCTTTGTTAAATCCTGAATAAGTTCCATTGTATGACTTACCAGTTTTTTAACCCAATATTCATTGAGTTGTTTCCAGTTTTGACAATTATGAATAAAGCTGTTTTGAACATCTGTGCAAAATGCTTTGTGTTGTCATATTTTCGTAATTTTGGGGGAGGGATACCTATAAATGGAACTGCCAGGTCATAAAGTAAATATATGCTATTTAAAAAAAAAAAGCCTGATGTTTTCCCCCAGTGCTTGCAACACTTCATATTCCCATCAGTAGTGTAGTCTCATCCACATCTCCTGCCCACATCCTCACCAAGACTTGATATGATCATTCTTTTCCACTTTAGGCAATATAATATGTGCTTAGTTGTATTTCATTATGGTTTTAATTTACATTTCCACAGCTTTGTTTGATGTTGTACAATGTTTCATATTCATTTGCAATCCATATATCTCCTTTCATGAATTTGGCTCATTTTTCAACTGGGTTTTAAAATTATCATTGACTTGAGAGTTATGATGGAATAATTAATGGTCAGCGTGAATGGGAATGCCCAGCTGAACTGAGTCAACATGATTCTTGGCATGGGATCCAAGCCCTTGGCTGGATTCTTCAGGTTTCTAGTGTGCAGACAGATCTCTTACACACTTCTGCATTTGACTTTTGGGTGAATATTACAAGATAATCCTATAAATTTACATGTCCTGTATCACATATATTCCCTTCCAACCCCTGATCACAACAAGAGTTCTTTATATATTCTGCTTACAAGCCTTTTATTAGATATAGTATTTTTAAATATATTCTCCCAGTTCAGTCTTTTTATTCTCTTGAAAATTTTCCAAAGAGCTGATGTTTTCGGTTTTGATGAAATTCAATTTATCTTTTTTTCATTTTATGAATTGTGCTTTTGATATCTTACCTAAGAAATCTTTGCCTAATCCAATGCCACAAGGATTTTCTCCTACAGTTTTCTAGACATTTTATAGTTTTGGCCTATGATCCATTTGGAGTTAATTTTGTGAAGAGTATGAGGTACAGTTGGAAGTTCCACTGTGTGTAAAGAGTTTTGTTTTTTTTTTTAACTTTTCTTAGGTCTAGGCTGTGTTAAACATTCACTTTACCCTCAAGCTATACCCCTGAGCTATATTTCCAGCCTTCTAGCCCCCAAAATGGAAGTGAGTTGCAAGTATTTGTTTTGTTTTTGTGCTGGAGATTAGAACTCAGTTGCCTGCTAAGTACATGCTCTACCACTGAGCTACATCCTCAGCTCTCCCCAACTCTCTGTACTGGGGGTTGAACCCTGGGCCTTCATACTGAGCTACCTCACAGCCTTTCTCTTTCTTTCTTTCTTTCTTTCTTTCTTTCTTTCTTTCTTTCTTTCTTTCTTTCTTTCTTTCCTTCCCCCCCCCCTTTCTTTCTTTCTTTCCCTCCTAGAGTGCTGGGATTACAGTAATGTGACACAACGTCTAACTCATCATTTTTTTTTCCATTTAGTTTATTGGTACATTTTAGGTATACAATACAGTTAAATTCATCATTGGGATCCTCTACCTTTAAATGATGTATCTTGGTTCTTATTTTTTCCCCATTCCCCTGCCCTCCCTTCACCCCCTTAACTCATCATTTTTAATCACTGGTTTGTAGAAATGTCATTTTGATATGTATTGGTACTTTTTATTTTCAACTGTACTGTGAGTTTTATTGAATCTGTGAACTGACGTTTGTAATCCTCTTACTGTTAATTATACCATTACTTTAATTTCAATTTCCTATTATTCATTGCTGGTGTGTAAAAATATGTTATATATTGACCTTGTATTCTGTAATATACTAAAATCACTTATTAGTTTCTTTTTTAAAATTAGTTCTAGTAGTGGTAAGTTTTCTTGCATAGAGAAACATATTGCCTGTGGACAAAACAGTTTACATTTTCCCTTCCATTCTGTTTGCCTATTATTTTTCTTGGATTATTTTGCTGACTCCAATCTTTATTAAAATGTTGAGTAGAAGTGATAGGTCAGATGTACTTGTCTTATTCTTGATCTTGCAATGAGCAGGTTTTTACCTACCAAATAAGGGAATTTTTTTCTTAGTATTCTACTCAATGCATTATGGGTTATTAGGTTTTCTAGCCTGTGTAGTGGGGACAGGAACTATTCCTGCTTAGGAAATGTTTGAAATCCAGATTTATTTTCCCTTCAATCATTTTGAGGTTTTTTTTCTCCTAGTCTTAGATGTTTCCCCCACATGAGTATTTTGACCAAAATTAAGTTGGTGATTTGAGAGGGACCCTTCAGAGTTCTCTCTGTGTGGCTCTATCTTTTCTGATATTCTATCCTGCAAATTCTAGCCACTTTCGGCTTCCCTGAGTTTCCAGCTCCCAGCTCCATTTCCTCAGGGAGATCTCAGCTTTCCCATTTTTGTAACACAACCTTGAAACCTTCTCTAGGGCATAAACTAAGGTGATTATAGGGCTTACTTGCTTAGGATAAAGTTTTTCGTGATTCTCTGTTCTTATTGCCTAATACCTAGTGGGCCAACCACTGTTTCATGTTTATTGTACATTTTTGTAGTTTTAAGCATCATGGTGAATTTAATCTCAATTTCATCATTGTTGTACTCAAATGTCTTTTGTTATTTACTTCTAATTTGTTTTGTTGTGGCTAGAAAAACATAATCTGAATTATTTTGATACTCTTAGATTTATTGAGATATCTTTTATGCCTTATTATAAACATATGGTTTTTCTCAATGGTTTTCCATTTACTTGAAAAGAATGTATCTTTTGCAGTAGTGTGTAATATTCTATAAATGTCAGTTAGATCAAACTGGTTAACAGTGTTCTTCGTGCTGTCAATTTTGTGGTTTTTAAAAATTTATTTTAATTGACACAACATTGTGTATATTTATGGGGTATCATGTGATATTTCAATGCATATATAGTACAATCCTTAAATCAGGGCAAGCATATTTGCCTCCTCAAACATTTGTCATTTCTTTGTAATGAAAACATTTAAAATCCTTTCTTCTAATATTTAAAAACATGCGGTATATTATCTTTAGTTGTAGACACCCCACTTTGCAATAGTACCAGAGTGTATTTCTCTCATCTAATTGCAACTTAGTACTCATTGGCTGGTCTTTCCCCATTCCCCTCTCCTTTCTACTCTCCACAGTGTTTGTGCCTTCTATACCCTACTGTTCATCAAGAAAACATGGACATACTTGCTGAATCAATAAGTTAATTGACAGTGTCGTGCTATCAATTATTGAGAGATGCATGTTGAAAATCTTGAGTAAGATACTCAATTTGTCTTATTTCGCCTTTTGGTGCTGAACTTTCATATCAGGTGCATATTCATATGTTTTGAACCTTCATATCAGGTGCATAAACCTTTAGCATTATTATGTCTTCTTGAGAAGTTAACCTTTTTATTGTTATGAAATGTCCCTTTTCCTCTTGTCATAGTTATTGAGTTTCACCTTTTCTGATATTATTATAGCAACTTTAACTTTCTTACAATATGTATTTGTCTAGTATACTTTTTTCAAATCTTATAACTACTCTGGTATTGCATGTCAAGTTTGTTTCTCCTGGACAGTGGCAGGGTGTAAATCTACTATCTTGCTACTCATTTTCTCTTTTCTCTCTTACTGTTTTCTTCTGGGTTGAATTTCTTTTAGCTCTGTTTTGTTGTGGTTTTACTTTCAGTTTTCTACATGCTAGTCTACTATTCATTTGTCAGGTCACTGAAACAGTGTTCATTTTGATTTTAGTCTTTATTCTTTATGAATTTTAACTTATATTGCTGTATCTTCTAGTACACTTAGTACTCCCTCTGCAATGTCCAATCTGTTAAGTCTAGCTAGTAAATTTTTTATGCATAGATATTGGATATTTTAATACCTTCTATCTTCCTTTTGCCAGGTTTATCTTTTTCTTTTAGCTTCTTGAAGGTATGTTGGAAGATATCTATAGCAACTAATTAGATGCTCACTTCAGTGTCTATCATTTTGATGTCCATTTCTATGGATTGGGTTTTTTTTTTGTCACAATGGGTCATTTTTCTGTTTCTTTCTGTGTCTCAATATTTGAATGAGTGCTGGATCTGGTGCTCAATGATGAGATAGTTCCTTTAAAACTTCGAAACATATAAATGTTTCTTTGGGTAAGCAGTTACTCTATTTAAAAATGTTTTCTTATTTCAAAGCTTGTTTTCAAATGTTCTTAGAGTAGCCCATAAAGCTAGTTTCCCCTTACTTTCAATGCACAGATCTTTTAGTAATCTCTATGCAAGTTCCTGGCAGCTGGTTGGGCTGTACTTTCTTGTTTCTTCATGTGCCTGATTACTTTGTCTTGGGATCTGTACATTTGATAAAACATTCACTTCTTTCAATTTTTACTGATTAGCTTCATAGAAGGAAAGATTTTAATCAACTAGCATAGCTAGAGATACTAGACGCTTCTTAGCTTTTTCTGTGAATGCATCTTCTTTTGATTTGTGCATGTAAAATCTCAGTTCTTTCCCAATTTCTTTTATTATGAGCTTATCAAATATTGCTTTTTCTTATGTTTTCTGCAATGCTGAAGGTTATCTAGATCTTCTGTAACCTACTCAGCTCTTTTTAGTTCTGATATCCCTCAGAAATCTAGAGTATGCTGGGTCCCATCAGTGAGACAAAAAACATTCCCTTGGGCAGCCCCAGGAGAGCTGGAACATAACACATGCTCCAGCCTTCTCTTCCTTTAGGAAAGAAATAGTCATGAAATTATCTAAACTCTGGCTTCTCTGTAGCAGCAATAAGCCATTCAGTTCTTTTTTTTTCCCCTCAGTGGTTCAGGCATCTCAGTCCCTACTTTTGTTTCTATCAAAACTCCGAGACAGGCAAGACAGAAACTAGTCTTGCAGCACCCCCTGAAAATCTGGGACGGTGCACAGACATTCCGGTGCTTTCTCTTCCCAGCAAGAACCAGGATGCTGAAGTTTCCTCCTGCTCATAACATTCCCTAGGTAGGGACAATCACAAATGAGTGTACACTAGTTCAAATTGTTGCCTGTGTTCTCAGTTGCCATCAGCCTGGTGTGCTTTCCTGTCAGTACTTGGATTCAGTCATTCAGTCAGGTAGTCTCCTCAAAGTCTGAATGGTAACCATATATTCCAGTCTTCTTTCCTTCCCAAGGCAGTCAGGAGTTAGAGTTTCCTCTTCATCACATGATAGGCATCCAATAATTGTCAATTTTACATTAAATTGTTCTTTTTGTTCTCAACTTATTCTCCTTTATTATCAGATGTTATCAGAGTGACTGGCTATTCCATTGCTAATCACTGTGTTTATTCAGGGCAGTATAGTGATTAGTTTCTCCTGAATCATTCTATTATGTAGACCTACACAGACTACAAAGCAACTGCATAAACAAACTAGGGTTTGCTGGGTTAGAAGCAAGCCAACTGCAATATCAAAAATCAAATAATTGCTAAAAACAAAATGAAAATGTATTTTTTCTCTGCTCACAGACTGAATAAGATATATTAGCGTCAGTATGAGAAACCTGGATTTTCCTTTCTAGTTTCACCTTGACATAATTTCATCTTAAGGTATAGGATAGTATTACTCCAGAACCTTCCATTACTTCTCAATATCATCCAGAGGGAAGATAAGAAGGTGGGTCCTTTTCCTTAAGGGTATGACATGGAAATTTCTGTTGTAGTATGTATCAGTATTTCATTCCTTTTTAGGCCTGGATAATATTACATTGTATAGACATGCTACTTTTGATTTATCTATACATCAGTCAATGGACCTTTGGCCTGTTTCTACTTTTTGGTTAATTATGAGTTAATTTTTGTTTATGATGAAGGAAGGGTCCAACTTCCTCATTTGCATGTGGACATCCAGTTGTCCCAGCACTATTTTTTTAAAAAAATATTATATCCCCATTGAACAGTCTTGGCTCTCATGTCAAAAATAAATTGACCATAGATGTATGGATTTATTTCTGAGCATTCAATTTTATTTTATCGATCTACGTAACTATCCTAATGCCAATACCATTCTTTTTTGGTTACTGTAGTTTTATCTCAAGCTTTGAAATTAGGAAGAATGAGTTCTCCAGTTTTGTTCCTCGTTTTCAGGGTTATTTGAGGATTTGGAGTCCTTTGCAGTTTCATAGACATTAGAATCAACTTAGTTTTTTTGCCAAAGAGGTGTTTGGAATTTTGTTAAAGATTGCATTGAATCTTTAGGTTTCTCTAGGTAGTGTTGCCATCTTAATATTAAGACTTACAATCTATGAACATGGGTATCTTTCCATTTCTTTAGGTTTTCTGTAATTTCCTTCAATGATGTTTTCTAAGAAGAAAATTTTACACAATATTTCATTTTTATATTTAATTTTTACAGATTAGAAAACAATTTGTGGCCAAGCCTCCATCTGAATCAAGGCATTCTTTAAAAAGGAAAGAGCTGATTCTGACATTGTTACTTTTTTCCAAGAACCAGCACCATTGATTATCCTAGCTTTAGCTGTAGAATCCCAGCTATAGTTGTGTATCTCAGTAGAGGACAGGAAGGCTTGTGTGGATGAGACCTCATAGGTTTGACGTCTCATACAAGAATGTGTGTCTAATTCCTGGGAATACTGGAGTGTGGATACAGAACTGGTTTCCATTGTCCATTTTCTGTTTGCCTCTCTAAGTTGAGAGTCTTGGATTTAAGTCCATAATTTAATATTCTTACCCATAATATTCTCACATTAAATATTTTAAACATTTCAAAGTATACTGGGCTTTCTATCAAATGAATGTTCTGTTTGAATTATATAGTTTGAAGGTGCTAAATAAATATCATTCTAAAACATATTAAAATATAACAGCAAAGTTCTTGATATATTGCACTACTTTTTTCTTGATTAAAATATACACATATTTTATATTTAATTTTTTAAGAAGACAGTAAAGCATATGTAACTGATCTCTTCACTATCCTATATTAAATTTGTTCTGAATATGCTATTTGATATAAGCAAAAATTTAGGTAATATTTGGTGAAATATTGCATTATATTATTCTCTCTTTGTGAGCTTAGGGATAATTTTCAAAGAAGACCAAGCAGTTTTGTTCTTCCATGCAAAACTGTCCATCTTTGCTGTGTTTATTTATAATTAGAAGTCAGATACTGACCATATTTGCTATAGAAAAATCTCAAGAAATGGAAATCGTAAGATATTATGGATACACATATCATTTGTTTATAAAATATTGCAGAAAGGTTAAGAATATAATTGGCCCTCAGTTGCTTTGGCATCAGAAACAAAATGAAAAGCCTTTTGAAAATCACATTGTCATATCACTGACCCCACTTAATGGAGAAATGACTCAGCACTGATATGAATGAGCCTGTAGTCTGCGGTGTGGGTCCTGATAACACTGACCTTCAGGCAGAATATGGGGTTGTGAAAGATCACATCCTTAAAATTTGGAGTCTTAAGGTGATACCCAGTTTTACTGCCGACATGTGATTGTCATCATTTAATCTTACTTTACTGATATAGAAACATGAGATTCCAAGAAGTTGAGTGCCTGATATTCCACAGGAGATAACATGTGTTCAAGTCTTTTGGATGTCAGAGCCAATGTTCTTTTTGCTGTAAGAGGTGGCATTTTTAGAGAGTCAAATAAATTTTCACATTTGTCTATTTGTACTAGTGAAATAGGCAATGCTGTTAGAAGTAAATTTAAAATAAAAACTGATCACTGATAAATATTTTGAACATCTAGTCATAGATACGTTATGATATATCTAGTCTCTAATTAGCTAACATAAAAACTTTTGAGACTAAGGAAACACAAACATATACTTAGAAAATTATCAATATAGTGTCCCATTAATAATTACATTTCCATGAAAATAATAAAAGAAAAAGCAGAGAGAAGAGTCATGTTAAAGTTTTAGGATTGCCGTTAAATTTCTTTTATTTATTTATTTTTTGGTACCTATTTTTAAATTAATCTTATTGTATACTTTAGATATACATAATGATCATATTCATCATTGGGAATTTGTACCTGTACATAATATATCTTGGTTCTTCTTTCTTTTTCTATAGCTTAGACCTTAATTATGTTTGCAACTTGCTGTGAACAAAAGCAGGTTAAAAAATAACCCTGGAGCCTGGACTGGAAATGGATAAATAAGATGTCTTATTGCTATACATCATCAGTTTTGTTTATATTTTGCATTGTGTTGCTTAATTAGGTTCTGTGCTGCAAGTGTTTATTTGTTAATTGTTGCCTTCTAGTCAGCTTTTTGTGACCTACAAAAGTGGAAAAGTAGATGAAGCAGTTCCTCTGGGATTTTTGCTGTGCAGGATAGGTGAAGATTTGATAAACTTTGTGGGCTGCTACCTAATCAATTAGCTGCCTTTTCAGGTACTTCTTTGTTATGATTTATCTTCAAAAGAGAAAATGTTCTGTGTTATGTGTGGGTGGAGAGCTTCATGCATTGGGTTACCAAATTAACAAATAAAAATACAGGAAAATCAGATTTCAGATAAAGAGCAAATAATTTTTTAGTAAACATGCTATATATATTGTGTGGATATTCTGTATTTTATCTGGGAGCTCCTAATGTGGCCACTTGTTCAGAATAGAATAGAGACCTGTTTTCATATACTGTTTTTATTTTAATCTGCATTTGGTTTTAAGTTCTTATCTTCATCCAGTCTTAGTATTTTCTTGCCTCAAGGTACCTGCACCTGTTGTGCTGCTGTTAGAGGATGTCTTACTCTTCTCTTCTTGCTAAGGCTAGACTGTGATCCAAAGGTGCAGGACACACATTCCACAATGAATGCAGTCACTAGAAATAGAGATCGGGCTGCAGGTGAACATGCCTGCCTATAGCCGCATTCAAGTGGAAAAAAATAAAGTGGAAGACCTGTAAGGTTTTGGAGTGTCTTGTTAATCTATTTAACCACATAAATGACTTTTTTCCCTTTCAAGAGCCACATTATAGATACTGGATAATGGTGGGTTTGGAATTTTCATTCAAGGCTGTCCATCCTTTTCACCACTCCAGATTCTTACAACCATCTTCTGTGTGAACATGGATATCATCATTGTCTCACAATTCACATACTACAAAGTTAAAGAATTGGAAGAAAAAATGTAAGAAAAAAAATGATTCAATCTTACAGTTCATTTTGATAGTCTTATTTGTAAAGGAAGATTGTTCCTTTAAAAGCCAATAAGACATATTTCCAGTGAGACAAAGTATATGAGATATGATCAAAATAGACAGTGAATGTTTAAATTAAAAATTTTTTATTACAGTAAAAAGACACATTGCCATTAAAGTTCCTAAAATACTTTCCCTAACTTCCAACACATATATCTGCTTTAGGAAGGGGTAGAAATGACAGGATCAGTGTGTTCAAAATAAAGGAAGTATTTTGAGGGGGATTAATGGCAGTGTCTTTTGATGTAATTTTTAAAAATTTAAGCATTTATTGTATGTTTCGATCACTTTGGAAAAATATAGCCTTTCTTTTCATTATTCCAGTGCATCCTTTGAGAATTTTATGGATGTGCCACATTTTGATTCCATGTTATTACCATGTATTTCAATTGATGTATCTGATTGGAAAATAAAGAGAAATTATAAGCCAGAAAAATTTTGGCTTCCATAGGTAAGAAAGAGATTGGCTGTAAAAGTCAAATACTTTTAGAGATTTCTATAGGTAATAAATCGTACTGTTTCTCATGTGTCCAATCTAAAAACATATCCCCCACAAAATAATAGCTACAAATAGTTCCTAAGTATGCATTTTTGATCAGTCCTTTTACAACTTAATCTCCATACTACCCCATGGGGCAGGTACTATTTTTATGCTCAAAGGCTGGCATAGAAGAGCTCTTTAACATATATTTATGGAATAACTGAAGCTATTACTTTTGCTTTGATTACTAGTTTAAAAAATAACTATGTGTTTGTTTCTTTTGTGTGTTTCAGTTAGCACTAATGAAATTGGTTTTTAGCAGTGTATCAATAAGAGGACCTATTTCTTCTTGGTGTCTCCTGGTAGGTCTATTTCCTTACTCTCCTCTGATGGCTAAAGAATCAATACCAAATTCCGCTAGGTACTACTGCAAAGATGGCCAAGAGAAGACCCCCAGTTGTGTACCAGGCACTGTGCAAGGCTTTTTATATGTACTTTTCTCTCAGTTAACAATCTTCCTTCTATATATAAGGAAACTGGGGCATTATAAACTGGGCAAAGGCCACATAGCTAATAAGTAGAGGCATTAGATTTCAAAATGAACATAAGATAATGCCAGATATTTCTCAAGCTGACTCACAGTTTAATTGTATCACAACCTTCATAGGAACAAAGATTGTCCGTGTCTTCTTCAAACTGAGTTCCAAGTGCTTATCTCATAGCAGGCACTCACTGAATAGCGGTGGAATGAATAAGCTATAAAAAAAAATGGAGTTCCCCAGTAATTCCTTGGTACTTAAAGATCACCCAATTTCCTCCCCTTTTTCTTCCCATTCCTCACCAAACTTACTTTAAGAATATTAAATAAATGGTGGCATCCAAAACTAAACAAAGTCAAATAATTCTAAAACAATAGGATATATATATATATATATATATATATATATATATATCATATACTACCACCATAACTAGTTCAATCAATCTAGAACTAATCCTGAATTTCTTTGGCAAACAGTCTAAAACATTATGACAGTCCAGCTATGCTCAATTTACTCCCTCAGGGGTAAATTGAACAGCTCATACAATTTATGAGGTTTCTGGAACAGAGTTTTTCTTAGCTGCAATATCTTGTGTGGGCAAAGTAGACTGAATTTGGAATGCTGTTAAACTTAGGGTCAATGCAGAGTTCAAAAAGAATTAAGTTTTGTGAAGGAACATGTATTAAATGGTCTCTGTAACCTGGAGCATGTGGAAGGATAAAGCAAGTCCTCCAAATACAAAATGTATTTGAAGGTAATTTTCTATTGAAATCTGGTGTCTTAACATGTGGTTGTAATATGTAAGAAGCCATGAGTTCTACCTTTGTGGTTGTAACTCCACAAATGTTTTTAAATAGGTGCTTCATCAGTTTTGATTTAAACAAGTGGGAATGATTTACCCAGAATCTTGCAATCAGATGTCTGAGTGTCTGATGTCTCCTGATCTAACCCTAACACAGACACAACATAAGTAAAAAATTAAAAATAGATTATAGAAGTTAGAGCTGCATGCACTTACTCTACCCCTAGCAACACATGGTGGATGATGAGCTCTTGTATAAGGGACTGTTTCCTACCTAAACCTAGGTTTATGTATATTTATGGTTTTTTGGGGTCTTGTTTTATCTTTTACATTTACTAAGGTTCTACATTCCAGCATTTCCTATCTCTCTAAACAAGAGTATCCAATTTGATCATCCCTCCTAGAAATTCTCAAGCTTTCATTAATACCTGGTGGAATAAGGGCACAGCCAGCCAGTGCCTGTGGAGAATGAGTCATTCTGTTCCATATTGTGGAGCGTTTATAGGCCTGTTGTTTTTTGTTTTTATTCCTTGGAAAGCCTTCCAAAATGCACCTTGACTGGCTCTGCTGACAGACTTCAGTGATCTAAAGGAAGATATAGGAGATGTACTTTTTGTGATGTAGTAACTTCATTTATAGCCTCCAGGAGTAAGGACATTACTTACCTAGTCTTGTGTTTCTGGTCCTTAGAGATGAAGGAGTTCAGTAAGAGTTTGTTGATTAAATGACTCCTATTTCCCCATTGTAAGATCCCTGATTGGCGCGTTCGCCTTAGCGTTGCATAGCCCCTGTGCTTTTGGTCTGTGTCAAGCTTGGGTTTTTTACCGCCAACCTCCTTCTTTCTTAGGCCTGAGTCACACTCCTGGTTGCTTCTTTTAGTTTCTGTTGGCTTCTACTACCACTAACACCACTTTTTACTGTCATCCGAGGCTGTGCTGCCCTATCTTCTACTTAATCTCTGCAGTGTCCCTCTCGTGCCTTGTCAACACTAGTATGGATGTATCGAGCTTGTAAATGTGTAGCTGGGCAATTAAAACAGCACATTCCTATGACTGATCCAGCCAATCCCAAGGGTCCACTGGGTGCTACCTGTTTTCAGGTGCACTTGTGATAGTTATAGGTTCACTACGATGCTGAGTTCTAATAAAAGGGCACATCTTTTTCCCCCTGGATATCTCTTATTGTGGAACCACTCTGGAAATTTTAGAAATGTTTTAGAGATTAATTACTAGATAAGTGACATTTAACGCGGTAATTTCTTTTAGTGTGCCATGTGATATCAGTTCCATAGCTTGTGACACTTGTTCACCATTGCCTTATTTGTTTTTAAGAATTAGGGAGTAGAAGACTGCAGAATTTATGCGTGATATGGCTACAAAGGTATCCACTATGCTATCTGTGGTTATACAAAGTCTATTATTGATGAAAAATAAACACAGGACTTGAATAGAAGTAAAAATGCAATCTTCATTTGGAAATGCTGTAAACTCTTTTAGGTTCATCTTTTGGTTACTTTAAAAATGTACTTTTGCAGTTTCTCATTGCTGATAATCCTATAGCCTCCACAAAGGAGAAATATTGTAGAAATGCTAAAGTTAGTCCAGGAAATATTTCACTTCAAAAAAGTAATGAGAATGTACCAGGAAGCAACCTCCCTTATCCCATGTTCTCCTAATAAAATTTTTAAGAAAATTTTATTAACTTTTGGAAATACATCTAAGAAACTTGAAGCCTTTGTGATGTCATAGATAGTACAGTTTAGTATGCTAGAATTGATCATGGCTCAGTAGGATTCTGGTACATGAAATTCCAGAGACAATCTTGTCCCTGCATGGGGCAGAGGACAGGGGGCATGGAGGCCTGACCCAGACTACGGATACTCATCCTGCTAGTGAGCCTGTCTACTTGCTCCCTGCTGCAGGCAGATAGTTTTATATACTCCAGTCAGAGAAGGGGCTCTGCAGGGCTTAACCAGCAATCCAGTTGAAACCCAGGGTCGGGAGGACCTATACTGAAGTAAGTTCAAAAAATCTTGAAATTTCTATTATTTAAAATGACAGCATTTGCCGCCTGCTGCACATGCACAAGGACCTGAGTTCGAGCCCCGGTACCAAAATAAATAAATAAATAAATAAAATGACAGCATGTTTGAGTACATGGATGAATTATTTTGCTACCTGATTCAGAAATACGACCTATCCTAAAATGATTACTATCATTGGACTCTATATTGGTCAGCCAATATTAGTTTTCTATCACTATGATACAATACCCCTGCACTCACAACTTGAAAGAGGAGAGATTTAATTTGGCTCTTGGTCTCAGAGGGTTCAGTCTGTGGTTAGCTGCCTCTGAGGCAGGAATGTCATGGTAGAAGAGTATGGGAGAGCACAGGTGCTCAGTTCATGGCGGATGGGAAGCAGAGCATAGGAAATGTGCCAGAGAGGATGAGAGCAGGGATCATATACAGTACACTAGGTCATGCCTCTTTGACACACCCAGACACACCCAGAAGTGTGTAGCTGTCAAGCCAATCAAGTTGACAATCCATATTAACTGTCACAGTACCTAAAATAACAAGGGCACAGGAAAAAAGGTTAATCCCAGTTCTTTTATGATTCCCAATTTCCCTTAAATATTTAGGTGCTAATGTATATTTAGATAGCTCCTTAATACTAACATTCTTCCTGTGATAATCTTTTAATATACTCTTGGTATAACTGTGATGTCAGGATTTATTTCTGGCTATATATCTTGTATACTCTACTTGAGAACTCAATTCCCTCAACTGTATAGAAATGTAAGTACATAACTTGCTCTGTCTGATCTGATCATTCAAAAGTGCTTCTTATCACTTTGAGTCTACCTTTTGGAAGATGCCTTAGATTCTGAGTAGTGCTTTTGGGACCAACAATCTGAAAGTCACAGTGTTGAATTGATTCTTGCTCAGACACTTTGTTGTTGTTGTTTAAGTGTCTTTCAGTTTAGGCATTGGAATTTAGATCAGATAGAATTGTGGCCTACATTTATCGTTCTGGGTTTGCATATTAACAACAATATAATAAAATCACAATAAATTATACAAACCATTTGGTATGGGTATTGTAGT